ACACTTTAAAACAGTTAGAACAAAAGCCTTCATGAAAGTAGTCTTTATTAAAGCACTAATGTCTTATTTATTTCAACTTTTACTCAAGAGAGTTACACACCAATGTAATACGTAAACCAATGGGCTTTGGTTAAGGGAGTAAAGTTCATAAGTTGGACAGAACAGCAACATTTGCATTAATGCTTTGTGAATTTGTTATTTGCACTTTCNGATTTCTCTTATTTGGTCAGCAGGAGTTTTTCCTCCGCTGTTAATGGTGTGTGTGTGTGTGTGTGTGTGTGTGTGTGTGTGTGTGTGTGTGTGTGTGTGACACACACACACACACACACACACACACACACACACACACACACACACACACACCATTAACAGCGGAGGAAAAACTCCTGCTGACCAAATAAGAGAAATCTTTTTTTTCACTGACCTAAATGCACTGGCGACTGTCAACATTTACTTTCTGCCATTATACCAGCCACCTTCTTTTTTATTTGTAGAGTAGAAAAGTGGCTTTTAATAAGACAAGCTGAGCAGTCAGAAGAGAGGAAATTGACCGCAGATTTGCTGCAATTTGATCCAAAATATGTGGGTCTATCCCTGGATGTGTTTATTTATTTGCCCACATACACACAAGCCCAAATATGGCGTAACTTTACACACAAAAAGCACATTAGGAGACCTGAAGTGCTTAGATGCTTTTATTTAAAGTGCATGAATACATGTATTTTCAGCATTATACGTGCTGCTACAGTTTGTTAATATTCAGCACAGCGTTGCATGTTTTGGTTAGTACTCATGTTTAACTTGAGTAAATCATGCGGTTATTGGATTTTAAGGTTTTAGTAAAGAGGACATATTATGATGAACACACTTTAACAGTGCTTGTGGGTACCATCCAAACAAGAAACTGTGAAATTAGACATTTCAGTGGATTTTTTCAAAAACTTTGATGCCATGTTTTGTTCTTGCACCTCAATCAACCTGTAATGGGAGTTGGGACTTTTTGAACTTTTATTCATGGTAAAATGTTTAAGAAACAACCGAAAATGAATGTATGAAGCTGAAAAGCACATGATATGTCCCCTTTAAGTCAAACTGCTCTTCAAATGTTTATTTGTATTTCTGAACTGGCTACATGTTTCATGTTAGAGGCCCAAATGTGAGACACGTTAATAAAAGAGTGCAATCTGATTGTTTCTCTGTTTTTGTTCTTCTAATGGCAAATCATTTCCTCTTTCCTTTTCTGTGCAAATTAGATATCCACATTCATTCCAGCCATCACCGACACTCGTGCTGTCCCACGTTGTCAGCACACAAAGCCTCCCATTTATAGATTTCAAGCGTCTTATCGAAGCCGTCAGCTTTCTTCCCCCGACACATCAGCCGTCATCTGATCCTCAGATGACACAGCTGAATGTGTCTTTCCGTCTGTCAGAATTAAATCTGCCATGTTCAGAATAATCTAAAACATCTCAAAGACTGTCGCTGCTCTGCTGACAAGATTATATTAATTTGCTCTATTAATATATTGCCCTACTTTTTTAAAATCTTGGTTGATTCTGGTCTTTGGATGTAGCGGCTATAGTTCAAGCAGGATGTGGTTTAGTGTTTAGTTTACATTTTCCTCACAAATATAAGTGTGTGCTTTTTATTTTAGTTACATTATTAGTTTATTAATGTAACTAATGAAGCCCTACAAAAATGTAAACCAGTTCCGAGCGGATTTCAGCCAGCCAAACATATTCTGTTTAGGTTGAGCAAATCTTACTTGAATCTTAATGGGCCAGGTGAAGTTGCTGACATAGACAAAGAAGGTTATGTTAGGGTTGTTGCGGAAGTCGAAGTTCTCGTTGGAGAAGCTGTCTTTGAACTCCTTGATGTTGCTCCGGGACACGATGGGGATCTCCTCCCCGGTCTGGGTGCCTGCTGGAGGACAGAGGAGAAATGACGTAGATGAAAATATGGAGGATGAAGAAGATGATGATGATGATGACATGGAAGTGTGAGGATGTCGGAAAAATTGAGTATGAGGGGGAAAACAAATAGGCCCATAAGATGAAGGCAGGTGGACAAATGAAAAACAGGAGATACAATGTCACTTTTATTAAGTTAAAACAATAACGTTAACTCGTTTTTTATGTGATAACGTTTTTCCACCAAGTTCTAAACGACACTAATCAAACATGATAGCACTTTTAATTTATGTAAATGTAATTACAGAGAGATAGAAATAATGACTTTGAGTTTAACGTTCACTCCTGCATTAAACACAGCTCAGAATATGATAAATGTTTCCCGCCTCATTCAATTTGTCTTTCTGAAGACAGAGAACATGAAGCAGCCTACTACTCATTGTTTGATTGTTTCAGCGTTGAGTGTTTTTGTGGAGACTTACCACTGAAGCTTGTGGCCCAGGTGATGTTCAGGTTGAAGTTCTTGGACGCGTTTATGAACATGTCTAGATCCCGGTTTGGCTGAGGAGGGAAAGAGAACAGAGAGCATGAAGTCACAATCATCATCAAAATGAGTGTCATTATGCAATATCATACAAAACACGGGAGGAAAACGATGAATGATACTTTAAAGAGGACATATTATGCCAATTTTCAGGTTCATATTTGTATGTTGTGTCTCTCCTGGGACATGTCTCCATGCTTTAATGTTCAAAAAGCTCTTTATTTTTCTCATACTGCCTGTGCTGCAGCACCTCTTTTCACCCTCTGTCTGAAACCAGAACCCAGTCTGCTCTGATTGGTTAGCTGGCCGGCTCTGTTGTGATTGGTCAACCGCTTAGAGATGTCCCGCCCCTTAGCCTATCACGTGCAATGTGTTGGAGCGCTATCCAATGGAAGAATGAGTGTTACATAATGAAGTCACTATGCGTTTCAGGCAGGGGGGGTGGGGACGTTTGTACTATGTCCAAAAGCTCCTCTGCTTTATGAGGAATAGTGCGGCGTAGGGCACATTTGGGCCGGTAATGGAAGCTGCATTGGCTAAACTAATGTTTGAACAAGAGTCAATGTTGAAAATGATTTTCATTAAAGTACTGTAAGAGCAGCACTGCAGCGATACCCGCTTTGATCACGTCAAGTAGATTTAAACGAGTCCTAATTCATGTTTACTTACTGATTGAAAGGCTGCGTTTGTGATTAATAATTGTAAAAGCTTCAGTGGGGATGAATGTTTAAAGTGGCTCTGTAAAAAAGCTGATATATTTGCTCAAATTATTATTAAATATGTAAAATGTAAGTTTGCTTTTATGAATAATTCTTCAGCATCATTTGGCTAATTAAATAACTGCTGAATATAATCCAAGTTTTGTCTTGTTTTTTAGATAAACATACAATTACAGAAGCAAGACGTAACTAAAATGTCATTTTCCTATTAATATCTAACACTTCTCTGTAACATTTATCATTTTATCTTTGTAATTTAGAACTGTCTTATTATATTTTAGCTTGTAATATTTCTATTTTCTTGGTTTCAAAATGACAGTTTGTAAGTGTATTTAAAAGTTCTAATGTTTTTCGGTTGCACTGCATTGCAATGTTTTTCAAAAGCTGCATCGTGTTGAATTGTGCAACATAAATAAAGTTGCTTTGCCTGGGTTTCCATTTGTGGAAACATTTTGTCGGGGAAGAATACCATCTGGAATATTAAATCAGAGCCGTGTGTGTTAGTACCGGCTCCAGATGCTGCAGCCAGGTAAACAGGACAGGACGGCTTTTCATTTGCTGTGACAACATCTGTGTGTAGTTCACACGCGATGATACACTGCAGGCTGATGCCATTAACAGAG